TGGAGGGGATTTGGCCAGGCAGCTCCCAGTCAGCCTCACACAGAGCTGCCCTTCATGGCCCCCTGCACATCCTGCCCCACCTATGGAACCAGCACAGCAGAACACAACACAAGCGCTCCCAAAGCTCTCCCCAGGCCCCTGAGCAGGCTGGGCTGGAGCCTCAGTGCTGGTTTGATGGAATTCCTTCCCTGCTGCTCCAGAAACTCCTCCAAGAGGGGCCCCTTCAGCACTGCAGGCTCCCTCCTGTCCTGTGTGAGCAAACTGCTCCAGGCTCTGCTCTCTCCTAAAGGTATCTGGGGTTGAGATAAGAGGGGAGTGCCCAGAACTGTCCAAGAAGTTGAAATATTTTTCACCAGAGGAGTTAAAATCCCGTTCCAAGACTTTGTGAAAAACAGCAATGGATTCCTAACGTCTGTCTGCACCCCCAGGGTGTGCCAGGAATCCTTTTAGGCTTCTTCATTTCATTCTTTTTCCTCATTCCAGCAGCCAATTTCATTCCAAACAAGATTCATTACACCAACCTAAAAGTGCTTTTGCATCCTCTGTTGGAGGAGCAGTCAGAATGAAGCTGAGGAGAAGAACCAAGCCTGGAGTCAATAAATAAAGACAGCCAGATTCAGAAAATTTTGAAGAAAACAATGTGTGAAGGGCTGTGGCCTCTTCATGCCATGGAAGAACCAGTAAAACCAGTAAAACTGAGGATGGACCAAGGCTGGATGAGCCACAGGTCACAGAACAAACACACTTAGGTGTGGTCTGAACATGAAGATCTGCATATCTTCCACCAGGTGGGGAAAAGAGCAGCAAAATCATAAAAAAGCCCCAAATTTCAAAGGCCATCCAAAACCTCCTCAGGGATGAGCTGTTCCACGTGCAATAAAGCTCACAAGGAACTTTGAAATGGATCCAAAGCCCCAAATTTGAGGTTGTGTGAGCAGAAGATGGGATAAACATGGAGAGTTTCAATGCAAGGGTTTTCCCTCAGCCAGCACTGCAGGTTTTTCCTTGCAGGATGAGAGGGCTCAGCCATTCCCAGCCTCCCACACAGCCCAGCAGGGACACTGCTGCTCCCACAGGAGCCACCTCAGCCCTGACCCCAGCAGGAGCAGGGACACAGAGCTGCTGTCCCACACAGCCCCAGGGCTCCCCCAGCACAGCCCCAGGGAATCCTGCAATTGTTCAGGGTGGAAAAGCCTCCCCAGATCAGCAGAGCCCCAGCACGTGCCCAGGTGCCACCTGCACGGGGTTCAGGAGGGATGGGGACCCCACCATCAGCCCTCTCTGTGAAGGGTTTGTCCCAAAGATCTGTGTGGGAGATGGGATATCAAAGGGGAAAAGCAAACAAATCTTCAAAGAGAGTTGTGGGATCTCAAGATCTGAGTCCTG